AATGCATGTGCATAACAGCACTCGGTTTTCAGTAATCATCTGAGACAGCTCCTAACACTCAGGACACCTGGCATCAGACATCTCTTATTTTCATGAACCAGTGCGCTAGTGAAATATTTACTTCTAGAGATGCTCTTTCCTGAAACCAAAAGGCCAAGCAAGGGCAGGTATGTGGCCACTTCAGCACGTTTTTCATGCAGGGCTAGCTGCTGTGCCTGTCCCGCCTGCTTGGGTGCTGCCTGTAGCTGTGAGAGTAGATGTTTGGATGTTTTTGGTAGACGCTGCTGTTAACAGCTCGGTGACTGCATTATCTGCAAATCTTATGGCCCAGATAATGCTGGTGGTCAAGTGATCAAGCAGTGCATGAAAAACTAAGCTGCTGTAGTCCCCCATGAAAAGAAGCTTCAGCAAGGCACATTCCTGTGCTCCATGGACAGGCTGGAAGGCACGCATTCTCCCCCGACGCTCTCACCAGGCTGTCAGCTAGGAAGGAAGAGATGAAAAGCTGCTAAGTCTTCATTTCACTAAAGGATGCAGTTTTTTTCCTCCGTTGTGCTCTTATCCCCTTTGATTTTTACCATTTCTGCTGAAGTCTCCCAAAAGGAAATTCTTTGTTGTGATAAGCTTGATACTTGCCCATGGTTTGTATAATTTAAAAATACCATAGGCTATTTTGGGCTGTGATCCCAAGACACTTCTCTTTAATGACTACACAAAGTATTTCCTAAATCCTTTGAAATATTTTTGGAAATGTATGTGGAAAATACGTTCTTAAAATCTCACTGTCTCTGTAAAAGCAGCAGGCAAGATGGGTTCTTACTTCCAGTCGTGTATGTAAACAGTTACATGTGCTTAACATTACTCTCGTATGTTAAGCCCCATTCCACTGATTTATCAGATCTCATCACAGCTTGCAAAAATCAAGACTTGAGTGTGGGACAGATGTTAAGGGTGTGTTGGCAGAGTAGTTATTGTAGGGAACCAATAGTTTGCTTGCAAATTGATAAACCTGCTTTTGCCCTGTTTTGTTAACCTGTTTAACTCTTGTAACCATAGGTGCTCCCCAGGCTGTTGTAAGATGGGACTCTTCAATATGTCCGTGCTTGCCGGTACTTGGAAAAGTGGTTTGCATGAACTAGGGCTGTTACGTGTCTGCTTACTGCTGCTCTTTCCTTGGTGAATGTCAAAATTACTGTTCTTGCATTGGCAGGCACCTGCAGCACTCAGATTGAATGAGGTGGTAGGAAAGTGCCACTGGAAACATCTGTTCGGAGAAGGGAGGAGGTGTGTAGGACAGCTGCAAAACATTCTCCTCTGCTTTCCCCTCCTGCCCGTGCACTGTGCCCTCGTGTGAAGGAGTAGAACTGTTGCTGCTGTTGCGTAATAATAAATCAGCAGCTGAGAAGGGGTCATATGTGATTTTCATACCTTGCCACTAGGTTGCTTTATTCGGTCACCCGCAGCAGAAGAAAGAACTGTCAGGGCTCATGAGTGCTGGAGCAGGGGTAAGAATGGGCAAGAGGAGTGGTTGGCAGAGGAGTCACAGGTTAGTCTCACTTGGAAGGGACCCACAAGGGTCATTGAGTCCAGCTCTTACGTGAATGGCCTATATGGGGATCATACCCACAACTGTGGTGTCATTGGGAGAAAGGCTGGGTCGAGCCTGGGGTTGTTAAGCCAGCCTGGCTGCCGGAAGAAATGTCTGTGAAACTGCACTTTGAATATATTTTGGCAGAAATATTTCCCACACAGCTTTCCACAGCTGCTGTTGTGAAACCAGTCAAGTCAGCCATCATGCAGGCAGTTCAAATCTGTTTTCTAGTATGTTAGGCTTTCAGATTCTGGGGTCTCAGGCAAGTTGGCGCTGTACTCTGTGAGCTCTGAAAGAGTAGCTCTGAGCAAAGCAGGCAGCTGGTCTACGCTGTGGCGTCCTGGTGGGTTAGTGTGAGGGAGCTGGCTGATGGTGTTTGTGGAAAGGATAAATATTTGCCCACTGTTTGTAATTGTTGTCAGACAGTGGTGTTCACCCTGGTGAGGAGATGTAAATCTAGAGAGAGAGAGCTGGGCTGGCTGTGCTTGCTGCCTGGCTTGTGGGAGCCTCTGGGTTGAGAGGGACTTGAAACCAGAACCTGCTGCAGGATGATGAAATCCTGGTAGAGCAGCCTGGCTTTCAGGTGCTGCTGTACTGGGCTCTTGTAGAGCCTGGGCTTGGGGTGCTCATGAGACTCTGAAGGAGCTCTGTACATACAGACCTGCCTGCTGGTAATGTTCACAGACCTTCATTGTTGGTTGGGTTGTGTCTGTCCTAAAAACTGCACAGCATCTTCCTCCGGCTCCTGCAGAGCCCCATCCTTTGGAGGAGATTTTAATGATAAGCTTAATCTGTAAAAGATTTTTGACATTACTTTCTTTTTTTCTCAGTCTCTTTTTTATAACGTGACAAAAATTTGTTGCTGGCTTGCAGTGAGTTGGGAGACCCTGTGCAGAACATTGCTGCAGTCGAAAGGCAAAGGAGAAGTGAGATGGGCCATGCCTGCAGTAAAGGATATGGCATCAGAGTATCTGTGTAGCTTAGCTGCACATTGACCAAAACTTAACAGAGAAAGAACTCTTTGTATGTGTGGGCTTTGACGTCTTGTCACCCAAAGATAATATCTTTGAAACCTCTTGGGTTAGAAGGTTGTGGCCAGCATCTTAGTCTTTGGGACAGAGACTGTTCTCATTTATTTTTGGATAACACCTATTTCATTGTGGCCTACTCTGGAATGTTAGAGGTACAGTTTAAAAAAGAAAAAAAAAATATAAACCCTCACAAAAAAACCCCAAACCACCAAATTTGAGGCTGTGGCTGAATAGTCTAACTAACTTTCTATGGTTTCCATGGCTTTTCAGAGTGCTTGAAGAGGTGCATCTGGAAAAAGATGGAAATAGTGGTATTTTTCAGAAATATTTCCTATTTTTAGGGTACGTGCTCAGTATTAGAAACTATCATTAAGGTCTAAGTAATGTGGAAAAGTACATAAATGACTTGCATATTCTGTTTAAGCATTTGTTGCTTTAAGTAGCAGCTCTAATGACCCAGGAGTAGAATAGCAGACGTTGCTGGATGTAGGGGAGATTTTACTGGCAGAGCTCTCTAGCACCTGGTGTAGGAAAATGTTTTTCTCCTTACAAATGCCAAAGCTGCATACCTTTTTACTTCCTTACTGTAGTTGTTATGCTAAGGCAAGCAGTTCAAGTTCATTGTGGATACTTTGGATTGGGTTGATAACCAAATCCTTTCATGTTAAAAGGACCTTCAGTCTACTTTTTTGTTCCTTGTTAAAATTCTGAAGTGGGTAAATTACACATTTCTGGTATGCATTTATTTTTAAATGTTACCGCATATGTTTGCTGAGTCAGTAACTTGCTGTTGTTTCCTTATATCCTGGACCTGTGTTGATGCTCTAAAAGATAATGTAATTTCACTACCTATAAAAAACAGAATTGCTATCCAGCCACTAGAGCCTTCTATTTTGAAAGTATACTTGCCTGATGTGCCTTTGCACATAGTATTTTTAATTTCCAGCTTAGGTGCCAACACGAGCCCATTCTGTTTATTCCCCATATCTGGAGCTCTGTGTTTTGGGCAGGATTTCTGTTCTGCAGTAGCAGCAGTTTTAGCAGCTGCATGCTTTGAGGCCCCGTCTCCTCTGGCATGAGAGCCAGTGGTGAAGTGAGAGAAGAGCAGCTTGGGGGCTGGGTTGGACTGTCCCTGTGTTATGTCTTCTGCAGCTGAAGAGCTGCTGTGGAGAAAGGGAAGGGCCTGTCTGCCACCTCCTCCTGGGGGCTGAAGGCAGGAAGTGTGACCTGGAATGTTGCAGGGATAGTCATAGCAAGGAAGTGATAAGCTGGGAGTCTTTTCAGGAGAACTCTTCAGAATGATTTGAGGCTCTTTGAACAACCAGTCTGGTTGTGATATTCTGGAATTAGATATAGGTGTCTGCAGACACACATGAAACCCTTTATCAGACAAGTCCTTGATGCTGGAAGAGGAAGTGTCCTGGGAGGAAAGTAGTGCATGATGCTTGGGTTCCTGACGACACATACAACCAATGAAGTTTGCCTGGACTACTCAAATGTGGCACTTGTGATTTTCAATCTTTTGGCAAGCATCCACCTTGTACAACTGCTTGCTGAAAGCAGAAGGTCCTGTGGCCCCTCCAAAAGCTGAGGAAACACCAGCAAGAAGCAGCCTTGGTGTGCTGGAGTGCCATGCTCTGGCAGCAGACCATACCTAGCCTCAGGGAGTGCCTGGAAAATGGGAGTGTAGCGGGGTGAGGTTACTCTGGGTTGGCAGCAGTGAGACCTGGGAGGGCGGCTCCCTGCTCCTGGCTGCCTGCTGATGTCCAAAAATCCCTCCTGTGGTCATGGTTGGTGGGTTAAGCACAGACAGGAACCATGTGGAGCTGCTGCCTATTGCAAGTAAGGGCCTAGCCATGGACAGTGCTGCCTTATGTATGTAAGTAAGACTTACCTTTGTACTTTATACACGACTTTTCTAAAAGTAGAAGGCAGGGAAGGTGAATCCAGGTTCTTTGAAAGTCAGTGATACTGTTGACAGCAAGAAAATAATGAACCTCAATCTAGATCCCTTCAGGATTTATTCAGTACCTTTTTCCTTGTTGAATAAAATAATTACATGGGTTTTGCTGTGTTTTGTGGGTTTTATCTTGGTGGACCTTCAGTTGCTGGTAGAAAACTAAAATACACAGAGAAATCTGTCTCTCATCCTTAACAAATCTGGGAAAGCTAGACACTGATGTGCTTAAAACTAGTGAGTTTTGATAAACAAGACAGTCTGCTTCCACTTAAATGCTGCTCAGCTGGGAGGAGAGGATTTGAGAAATTCTGGAGTTTTTCAGGAAGTCTCCCAGCTTCCCTGTCTAACTTTTGCAACAGAAACCTTAAGATGGATGGTTTTGGTAGGTTTCTGACTTGTGGGTTTTTTGTCTTTTCAGTTGGCCTGCTGCTGTGGTACTGCTGCTTGTTCCTTGTGCTGCAAATGCTGCCCCAAGATAAAACAGTCAACCAGCACCCGCTTCATGTACGCGCTTTACTTCATCCTGGTGACCATCATCTGCTGTGTCATGATGTCCACAACAGTAGCTAATGAAATGAAAACTCACGTAAGTAACAGGAATGTGGACATTGCTGCCCCTGGAAGAAAATGGGGCTCCTTCCACGGCTCTTTGTGTACAGGGGTGTTCCCTCAGAAGAGGCGGTCAATTTCCTCCCCCCATCCACTTCTAAACCCAGATGGGATGATTTTCCATGCTCAGTCTCTTGATTTTTCCATGCTCAGCATCTTCCTGTCACCCACTGGGCATGTTTCTCAACAGGAAGAGCCAAGGCCTGGCATCCTTCCTCTCTGGTGCAGAAATCTGCTGCAGTGAACCCACCCTTCCCAGATTTGCTGTGCGGGCAGTGTCACAGGAGGGAGAAGTATTGAGGAACTTGTTTTAGTAAAACAAATCAGTTCAGTCTAACTTCGAATTTTGTCTCTGGCCGTTTGTTTAGCAGCAGAAGCAGCAAATTCGAAATATCTTTTCAAGTGTTGCAGTTTTAATTCTGCCAGTCTACTGCAAAGCACAATGCTGCAGAACCTCTACAAGGGGTTTTCTCCAGTGTGTGTTGAGTCACTGTGTTCACATGGTCTCTTAACCACAGCAAATATTGTTCCTCTCTAATTGTCTTTTTAATTAGAGAGCTTCAAAAGCATGAAAGGAGCTGTGGCTGAAGCCGGACTTTAAAACTCAAGCTTCTTTCAGAGTTTTAATATAACTTTCTAAGCTAAATGCTCACCAGCTTGCTTGTGCTCACACACTGGTCCTGTTGTACCACATATTTGGTTTGGCTTCATAAGCCACCCAAGTAGCACAAATCCTCTCTCTCACCCACTATGAATTACAATAATAAAACTCTGCTTTTAACTAGAGGGAACAAGGGCTGCATTGCTTAAGTCTTAAAAATGAAGATGCATCAAATGCATCATTGGGCCTCCTTCAGGGGTTGTGTATGTGCTTGTCCTCGAGGCTCAGAAGACTTCCATCAGTGTGAGCATCTTGTTGTTTTGTGCTGCTCTCCCAAGAGAGAGTGGTTGCACAGTGAGGCCTCTTTCCTCGTTGAACCAGTTGCTGAGCAAGCTGATGCCCTGCTTGCATTCTGCACTTGACTTTTGGTTGTCTATTAAACACTTCCCTCCAGAGCATCCCAGATGAAGAAGCTGGTGGCAGCACCCCCTTCCTGCAACAGAGGTGATACCAGTGGGTTTACAGAAGGCTAATTTGGGGACTTCTGTGTTCTGCTGCCTATGACCTTGCTTTCTTGGGATTGTACCTTCTTTGTATGTTCTATCCTAATTTTCTTTCATTTAATAGCACTTTGCATGAGTTATCCTAGTGCCACATTTTACCCCAGGCCACCAGAAGCTGATGACCACCCTGTAGGAGCAGCCAGTACAGACATGATGCTTGCCTGTAAGCTGTGACTTAAAAACTGTTCAACATGTGTGTGCTGAGATTGCTTGCCAGGAATTGCTTTGACTTACTAGATGCTTAGCTTGGCAATAAAGTGAATAACCCAAGGAACTTAAGTGTGTGGGAGACAAATTATGTGCTCATATCCAAATTTCATAAAGTTCTTTTCCATCAGTAGTGTGGTTTTAATGCAGCTTGTATCCCTAACAAAAAATATTCTTTATCCAACAGAGAAGTGATTCAAGAAGCCTTCAACAACATGCTTTTCAGTATTGCCAAATTTCTTTTCCAGTTCATAGTCTTGAAAGCTCAGTGTGGGAAGAAATGGCACAAAGAGTAGCTGTTAGTTTGAAGTGGAAGGATAATCACTGTCTTAGTTTAAAGCATTTGATGTCTTTGAATGGGAAATGGACCATCTGAAAGTAGGCTTTCTTTATCTGCTTTCTAATTTAATAATTATGTTCAGGGCTGTTAAAAGTTCAAAGACCTCTGAAGCTAATTCAGCACAGTTTTAATAGAGTGCACCTTGAAAATACTTATTCAGACTAACCAGTCTCAGCTTCTCAGTGATGAGCTGTGTTTTGAAAGTGCTGTGCACTTACTGATTCCTTTGCTTTTGGCCGGGTCATGGAACACTCCCAGCTCCTGAAGCCAGACTGTAAGCAAATACTTTGCATGATATTTTTTGGGATCTCATCCTCTCTTTTTTTTTTTTTTTTTTGAGAGAAAACAGATTTTGATTAATTATAATCAGATTTCTTTTTAAATTTTGTATTTAGGTAAGGAATATCAAATTTCAAATTGTAGCGCAGTCCTTTTTAGAGCTGTAATCTTGGCAAGGAACCATGTATCTCCTTTACCACTGTAGAGACCAAATACTCATGCTGATCTTACATGGAAGGAATCTCTTTTCTCAGTGAGAGGTGTTTTTTTCTCTTTGGTTTTTCTGCTGTAAGTTCCCAATTATACAGTAGTAGATCTTTGGGGAAAGAAGCAATCATCAGTGAAGGAACAGGGAAGAAGTTGATGGTTGTTTGCAGAAAAATTTTGGGTAGTAAAATATAAAATAGATTTTGCAGGAGCAAGGTTGAATATCAAGGCAAAAGATTGGGTATTCCTCAATCAAAACATGTGAGCCTGCTGACAGGGACAGAAATACAGAAAACACCAGTATGGAGTTACACTCCATATTGTGCTTCTATACTTTGATCCATATATTTTTTCTTTTTCCCTGTTTTGCTGTTTTTTAAAAAAAAACAGATACACTTAACTCGCATGTGTTCTGTTGAAGCAAAAAATTGCATTTCACAGGCTTTGAAAGGAAAATTTAGAGAAGAAAAGGGAAAAAATGGTTTTGGTCTCTTAAAACAATGTTTAAATTTTTTTTAAACTTAAGTTTTTAATATTAAAGCTCTTTCAAAACTAATGGCTTCAATCTGAAAATATCTATGTCCTACTTAATTAAGGAAAAGAAAAATAAGAAAGATATTTTCAGGAAAATAAACACCAGTAAAATTCAGTTCAGTTGTCTGAAAGCATTTCAGTACAAGGTGGTCACATGTTCCAGCAAAACATACTTTCAGTCTTATTTCCCCTGGTAGTTTATATCTTGGCCCTTAGCTGCATTATTGCATGTTAAACCCCAAATTTGCTACCAAAAATAAGAGCTCTGAGTGCAGATGGCCGTTGCCTATTTATGATAAAAATTTAGCCTTAGATTCGTGATGATGTGTTCTGGTCTGATTGTTTCTTGGTTTTTATTTAATTTCTCAGCTGCCCAGGACAGGTGATTTTGCATGCGGTTTTTTCCCTTGCTTTCCCACCTGCCTAGATTTTCATTCATGCATCCTTAACGAAGTTTGCCTACCATATTGTCCCTCCTTGGATGAGGACACCCAGGTGAAAGCAGGGTCCTCCAGGGCTGTTTCTGCACACTTCTTCCTTCCTGTTCCCCTGGGATGCGCTTTGCTGTGCTCCTGAGCTCAGCAGAGACCCACTCGGGGGTGGCCAGACCCAGTGTTGGCTCTTGCACCAGGATGGTTCTGTGGGCTTGCAGTTTGCACTGAGGGGAGAGCAAGTTCAGGACACCCTCTTCCTGTAGATGCTGCTCCAATGTTGATCATCTCTGAGGGCTGGAAGATTGCCAGCTTTGCTGTGATAACATCATTGCTTGCACAGCAGCTGAGGCGTTTGTGTTATTGGAGCGGATACTGAGTGTCTGCAACAAGAATGCTTTGTCCTCTGCTTGGAGGCCAAAGAATTTAGCTTCTGCTGCTTTTAAAGGTACAAAAGCAGCTATTTCACTGTATCTTGGCAAAAAATGAATATGTGATTTAACAGCTGTCAAAAATATCCAGCAAATGGTTAGCATGGTAAAGCACATAGGGTGGGCAGCCTTCTCAACAGCTGAATGTGTTTCAGAGATACAGATTGAAAAGAAGCATTAGTCTTTTTTGTTTATCAGTGAAGTCACATAAGCCTTCATAAATTGTTTCCAGCAGTAGACCATCCTTTCACAAAAACATACCCTTTTTATTACACCAGTCCTATTGTCCCCAGCATTGTGCTTGTGTGCTGTATCTGTTAGGGCCTCCAAGAGCTTGATTTTATTCTTGTTTTGTTCCTTCAGGACCATGGGTCTCCTAAAAGAGCATTCAGTCTCATGGGACTGTTTCTGTGGCCATCACTTTTTACTGCATAGTGTGGTGAATACTACATAGTGGCTAAACTCTTTGTTGCTTATGTAGGGCAAATGGAGCTATTGTTCTTGTGAATCCATCTATTTTCTCTCAGCCAGACCTGTAATGAAGTAAATATTTACAGAAGGAAACAATGTATAGGTTCAAAAATCCCACCAAGATTTCTGTAGAAACCTATGCAATTAAAGAAGTTGCCTATTTATGGTTACCCAAAGATCTGTTTCTAATTAGCTAGTCAGTTGATCAAGTTTTGTGATATTTTTGTTTTGTTGTGTTTTATTCTGAAAGTCTTGTAAGTAAACTGATTTGTAAAAATCTGTCTCTTTGGTGAGTACTATCATCGATGTCAAACAAATAAGTAATTTTCTCAGAAATATTTTTAGTTCAATATTGTGCCATTTTCTAACCTCTCCTGGTTGATGGTTGTTACAAGCAAAGAACAGAAAGCATTAATTGATAGCCCAGTTGCTTTCCCTGGCATTGTTGCGGCCCCTTGGCTTGCCCTGGCATCACTGTAGTGATGATAGTTCTCATAATTATTCCAGTCAATCCATTTGCTCATTTTGAATGCTGGTGTGTTTGCCCAGTCTAACATTTCATTGCTTTCCAGGACCTGGGAAAAGTGTTGCTGATGCTGCAGACAATTCCTCAGGAGCTTTCCAAAAACTCTTGGATGCAAGTTAGCTACAGCTACTAATGTCCAGCTTCTTTATGCAGTGTCTACTAATCTCTGAGTTACTGCTGAAAGAGGAGCTTGGAGTGGCCCAGCTTGAACCCATTCTTGTAACACCGCACAGCTGTGCTGGTGGTGGTGAAACCGCAGTTTTCATCTCCTCGCTGGTTCTGGCCCACCAAAGATCAGCTCCAAATTGTAGTTAGGTTTGCTGCCCTTAGCTCAGCCACTCAAGTGTTGCTGTGAGCTCCTCTTCTTGAGAAACTGCTAGGAGGGTTGTTGAGCCCCTGCCTGGTTTGGATTCCTGGAACATGGATTGGAGTTGCATATCCTGCTGAGAGAGGAGGGCTTTCAGAGCCTGGTGGCTGGAAGCTGGCAGTTTACTTGTTTATCACTTGTTTACTGCCTCTCAGAGGGCTTTCTACCAGACTGGGAATGCTGCCTGATGGCTAGCACACAGACCCTGGTACTCTTTCGTTGTGATGGCTTTGTGTACTGACCTGCTTGCTGAATAAAGGGGTTCCCTTTGCCATAGCTGTTGATTTGTGCATGCTGCCTCCTGCTACATGTTGGCTGCTCCATAAGAGCAGTCAGCTCCAGAGGGTTTAATAATGTTGTTCAACTGGTCTTACCAGCCTCAGCTGAAGGCTGTGAGCATACAGAGAGGCCTTTTTTTCTTTGAAATGGATAGTGGTTTTCTAATTAAATTCCTGTGTTTCTGTGCAGCTAAATGGTTTTCTGGCTGTGAGGAGCCGATGTCTACACAGAGGTGCCTCACAGCAGCGGGTCCTGGCCACACAGACCTGGGTTTTTGAGCACCCAGCATCATATTCATGTGGTGAAACTGAAGCCAGAATGTGCAGCTGTTTGTTTTCCCCTTCGTGGGGAAAGGCCTCAAAGGCAAATATTTAATGAGTCAAGAGAGGCAGGAATATTCCATCTTTCTGTTAATTTAAAACAAAATCAGGTCAACTGGCACAACTCCCTTTCAGAAGCTGTGATGGAGTGGAGGGTGGTTGCTGCCTCTGTGACACTTGGGTGTGTTTCTGTCTGCCTTTCCAGCCAGGGCAGCACAAGCTGCTGCTGTGTTTCATGTAAGCTGAATTACTGAAGCAGAGTCTTTTGCTGTGCAGCATGGGAAGAAGGGATAAGGTCCCTAGGGTGAGGGAATAAGAAGTAATGGGTAGGAATGGCATGAACCAGGAGATGAAGGAAAGTGGACTTGTACCCCAAGGGATCTGTAAAGAATTGAGAGAAGGCTCTGGAAAAGTTCAGTCCCTTATGCTTTAGATTTTGTTATAAACCCTGAACTCTGAAATCCAGGCTGAAGGGGTGTCAAAAGTCAAAGGTATTAAATGAAGCCAGTGAAATGGTGCACAGATGTAGACGTGCTTATGTGTGCTTTGTGTCCTTTTTAACAGTTTATATGTAATGTGTTCTGCTTTTCAGATTCCATTCTACAAGCAGATGTGCCAGGGTATTCAGGCGGGTGAGATGTGTGAGAAGTTGGTGGGATACTCTGCAGTGTACAAAGTCTGTTTTGGAATGGCCTGTTTCTTCTTTTTATTCTTCCTGTTCACCATCAAAATTAACAACAGCAAAAGTTGCCGAGCATACATTCATAATGGGTGAGTTTTTTATTTGATTGTCTAATTTTAACATCTCTTTACAAATTTGTGCCACAAACTTCCTACTTGGGTGTAGTACTAGACAGAAAAAAACCCCAAAACTCAAAAAACCTCACTTTGCTCTTACTGTTAGAAATAATGTGGTCAAGTGAAAACTAAGGAAAGTGGTAATCAGTCATCAAAGGATAGGTTTTTTTCCTCATTACACTTTAAATAAAGATTTCTTGTGGTACTAAAGTTGAAAGTCTCTAATTCCTATTCCTAAAACCAGATTTATTTTTTTTTTTCTCATACAGATTCTGGCTTATTAAACTTATAGTTTTGGCAGCAATGTGCTCAGGAGCTTTCTTCATTCCTGATCAGGACACTTTCCTCAATGGTATGTCCTCCTGTTTTGTTATGCTGCTTCATTCTCCATTATCTTGAGTGGTTAAAAATCCGAGAGGTCTGATCAACATGAATATTGCCTTGTTTCTTCAAGTAAAGCCTTTACAGGCCAGATGCAAAAATAGTGTTTGTGGGGAACACTGTGTGTGCTGACTACATGGTCTTCATGTGAATGTGCCTGGTTTTTTTCTGACCAAGAGCAGGGCAAAGTGGTAGGTAATGATACCACTTCAGCAATTCTTTAAGAATTCTTGCCAGTTCTTTAAGAAATATGGAACTGTAATGGTGCAGAAGGAGTTGTTCACTCAAGAACACTACAGAGCTGCATATTAGTTTGGCTTGTGCAGGTAGCTCTGGTGTAGTGCTGCAGTCAGGCTGCACAGTGGAGGGGTGCCAGTGCTCCAGGAGGCACAGTAACCTCCTGGGCACTGGTGTTTGCTGGCTGGAAACTTGCAGAGCTCCAAAAGAATTTGGGATGTTAATTTTCAGGTTGGGGGCATGCATGCAATAAAGTAGAATTAGAGTTCTTGGGCCCTGGTACATGTGTTCTGCTGAGGATGCCATGTCAGAAGCATTTCCAGTTTTGGAAGGAATGCTGGCAATAGCACAGGCATGCTGAAGTGCCAGCTGGGAGAGGAGTTTAGCGCAGAAGTCTTGTGGGCTAGAAGCATAAATCCTGGTGATACCAAGATGAGTTTATTCTCTTACATTTGCAGTAAGTACATCTTACAGCTACTTGTAAGCCCTTAAGGTGTTGGGTGTGAACAGGTGGTGGGGGGTGGGATGGGGTCGGTAAAGCAAAGGAGCAGTTGTGCATGCTGCCTGCTTCCACGGAGATTTGCTTGGTTACCTTGTTCTCAACACTCATCTGCTCTAGCCAGGATTTTTAAAAGGGCAGGAGGGAGGGGTAACATGGGACGGAGAGTGGAGTGGGCAGACTATGAGCACAGTACTCTGGGAAACTAAAGTAAAAACCACTACAAATAAACCACTGACAGATACATAATTCAGCTTCTTGCTTTTGCTGTTTGTTTGGTCCTGGCTCAGTTGAGGCCCTCTTCCATGTCCTCTATGAAGTTGTGGGATGGCTGTATGTGTTTGTCCTTAGGACCCATTCTGTTTGGATTAGATGTAGCAGTACAATGCCTTGTACTCATGGGCAGGTGAGATTGCCTGTCATCTTGGCAAGTGACCCTTTTCGTGGTGAAACGTCTTCAGGAACTGATGTGGTTGCAGAAAAGAAGAAACAGAATTTTTTGTGCTGATTCTCAACAGCAGTCTAATGTAGTCTGGAGATACAGCATAACAAGCTTTCTTCCCCAAGCTAGTTCATGACTTTTGACTCCAAAGCTGTATTCTGTGACTTCTGCTAAACTAGATGTAACCACAAATTCCTATTACCTCTAGTCTGCCCCAGAATTTGAAATTTACAGATGGTTTGAGTATTGTATGTTTGTGGGGTTTTCTCCCCTCCTTTCAAGAAACTTACACTGTCTTTTGGTTGCTTGTTTTGTTGTTGGTTTGGTTTTTTTTTTAATAGAGAGGGGGTCATTCTCCCAACTGCTTTTTTTTTTTTCCTTGAAAAATAAAATCTCGTGCCATGTTTCCCAAGCAGTTTGTTAATCATGGAGGGGGAAGATTATGTGCAAGCAGTAGGTTTCTGTGAGTTGTAGTGTTAAACCCACACTGGCTAGGCTGATCTTACCTGTGATTGATCCATAAACGTCTGCAGTATACTGGTGGCAGAGGGAGATCAGGAGAGTCTGTCTATTTAATTATTCACTCCATTGGTGGTCCATTGGAAAGTAGACCTTTCCTACTCTCCCAAATACACATGCCACTTTGTGCCCTGCCTATTTTTTATGTACTTTTTTACGTAATAACTTAATCTGTTTTTTTGTTTTGTATGTTTGAAGAAGCTTGTCAAGTGTATACAATATGTTTAGCAAACCAGACAATGACATTTTTGCTTGCTTTTAAATAATGAGCTTATGACAGAGTAAGGAAAAAAAAATCCCAACATCAACTGCTAATAGGAATGAGCCCTGACTGTTCTGTTCTTCCACTTAACTTACACTTTTTTTTGAAAGAAAAGCACAATACAAGGATATGGTTGAATTTTGCTGATGCATTTCCTTGGTCTTTTCTTCACTGAAATCAGTTGCTCATCTGGAGTAGTTTGTAGGCTGTGTACTGCAGAGCAGCACAAGCTGTATATACAGCTAAAAATTAAAATAGGTATCTGTATTTCCTCAGACACTTCTGATGTTGCATGTAAGAAATCTGTTGTGTAAAACATCCAAGCAGCTACCCAAATGCAGTATATGTAGGTCAACAGTTAAGTACCCAAATAACCTGTCCTAAAATCAGTCAGTGAATACTAAGTGTTCCTTGGGAGTGGCTTGGAACAGCATTTGTGAATAGATAAACCCCACCTTTGTTTTTCTGTGGTACTGGAATCTGGAGAAGAAGAAATTGCCCCTTTTAGTAATTACTGGGTTCCAGTACCTTGCGATTTCAGGGTTTGGATTCCTGTGGAATGCCTTCACACCACCTCCTTTCTGTCAGTCACAAATAAAGGTTTCAGTATTTTCTGTCTGACCATACTAGCTCATAGGCTCCACAAAAATTTTCTAGGTTAGGGAAACCCAGTAGATGTCCTGACAGGATTGTATTGAAAATGTAGCAGGTTGCAAGCTGAATTCATAAGGGAGCTAATCTTGAGTTAACTGAGCTGGCCTTTCATCTGAAATCTCTCATCTCCTGCTACATTTGTGAGCTTGAGATATTCAACCACATTAACAGCTTCACTGCATAGACAATAAATCCATTTTATCTCAAGGGAAAGGCGTTTGACCTATTTTCTGCCTCTCTGCCTTGCAGCCTGGCGCTATGTAGGAGCAACAGGAGGGTTCCTTTTCATTGCCATTCAGCTCATCCTGCTGGTTGAGTTTGCACACAAGTGGAATAAAAATTGGTATGTGTTGGGCAAGTAGTTATTTGCTTAAAATTCTGGTGGACTCCTGACCAATACTTTTCTCATAACAAAAAATATAGTGTCTTGGATGTAATTTTTGAAAGAAGATAGTTGAATCAGAGCTGTTCATAATTACTTCATCTGCTTTCTCCTTCCCCAGCAGAAATGTTCCTTATCACTCACTTCTACTCTGCTGATTTATTGGCTTCCATTAAGTAGTAGTGTCCTGAAGTGCTTGGCTTCCATTAAGTAGTAGTGTCTTGGAATGCAAAAATTTCTAACTATGAGTTATTATATATTTTATAAGAAATTACATCTGCTAATTGGAGTGGTGCAAGAGAATAAAACGAGTTGCAAAATGTAATAGTGAAGCTGTGTGCAATGCTGTGAACTGATAAATCCGCTTTTTCTGTGTCAGCTTAATGCATGTCAATTTTCTTTCTCAGATGAAGACTGCTAATTTGTGTTCAGCTTCTTTCTTGTCATCTAAATAGGCAAGATTCCATTATCAACCTAGATATGCAATATTTGGGTACTGACTTCATTTTTGGTTCAAGTATATTTTCTATTACTGTCCTAGCCCTTCACCTCTCATCAAATTAAAATATTTAAGTTTTCCTCCCGCATGTATTCTCCTGCCTCCACCTCCACCCTTTCTGTCTCACATTTCCTCCTCTACAAACTCTTGCAGCGCTTTCTTGTTCTAATTAAAATACCTGCTAAGAAAGTTTTAGCAAACCTTCAGCTTTGATAAATTCCTGTTACAGGGTGGAAGAGGTGAGAATTCCTTATACCACAGATATTTTTAGTGCTAATTACTGTAGCTGGCTTTTTGTGGATGAAAGACTTCCAGAACCAGCATTTAACTTTAGCTCTCTTTACATTAGATATTCTTTTAAAATAAGTCCTGCTTCCACAAAACCACAGGAAAAAAACCCCACTGAAAAGACTTTCCATCTGCAAAACAGCCCGTTCTTTCAAAACAAGTGTTTTAGTTGCTTCTTTTAAACCTTGGTGGGCTTTGCTAGAAATCTTTGGAAGATGAAGAAAGGAAAACAAGATGAACCACTCTTTAGCTGAGAGAGACTGGTGGTTAGAGTCAAATTGAGAGGAGGCTGAGTGAAAGAGTAGTAAAACTTTCAAGGTAGTACAAGGAGCAGAAGAGAGGCCATGCAATGCCATGAGCAATAAACCTCTGGTTTCATTGTGTGGAGAGCACCACTTGCTAGCCCAGCCTGGGGTCCTTGGAGTTGCTGCTGAGGAAACTCCTGAAGTATTGAGCTGAGATATGCTGATGGGCTGATCCCAGAGAACTCCTGGGAGTTTTAGGAGTCAGCACTGGGCTATAATTACAGAAGGAGCTGATTGTGATAGTACAGAAGATAAACACTGATGATAAGGAATGTTTCCCTCTGTTTCATGGGTAGGAACCTTGCAAGAATCTGTGCTGGTGTAGTGATGCACGCATGCTTGGGGAAAGTAAACACTGTCTTTGTATTTGAGGATATGAACTCTTCAGCTGTTAGAACTTTATGTTCTGGGCAAGTGAAGACAAATATAAGATGCTTATCTCTCTCTCCCCAGGACTGCAGGTGCAAACCACAAGCAGGTGTGGAATGGTCTTCTTGCCTTGGTCACTCTCATCCTGTACTCCATTGCCGTGGCAGCGCTGGTGCTCATGGCTCTCTTCTACACGCGCCCAGAGGGCTGCATGTACAACAAGGTGCTGATCGGAGTGAACGGCGGCCTGTGCCTCTTCGTGTCCCTGGTGGCCATATCGCCCTGCGTCCAGAACCGTGAGTCCACTGACCTGCTCTCCTCCTGGGATTTTGCTGCTGCCGCAGCTGTGTGCCTGGAGGCAAAAGCCATGTCTGGGCAGAAAGTCTAATAGTTCAGAGTTGGTGCTGCTCTTGACTCTGTCTACATATCTGTCTGAAGTGCTGTCGCTCATTGTCAGCTTGACTGCTGAAACCACAGAGGTGTGAGATGTTCTGGGTGTGCCATCAAGCACATAGTATAGAGAACACCCGCGGGCTGATGCCTGGTGCTGTGTTGTGAAATTTACCTAAGTCTGGCAGTGGTAGCTCTCAAACTCACTACTGTTTTACTATTTACTTTTGACTTCTTGGAATTTATAAAGTTTGGGCCTGGTAGAGTTACCAGCAATATTTTATACTTCATGTGCTCTTAGTATCTTGCAAGCATTGGGCCTGAAATTAGTGGAGTGACTCCAACAGAGAGATTACAGGCAAGTAAAGTTATTGTGGCAGCTTTTGAAAGTGGCTGTGTTTGGCAAAAGCATGGAGGTGATTGTTTACTTACACAGGAATCACTAATACTTTCCTAAAACAGCCCACAGAACTAAAAGATAGACCTTTTTTTCTTTATTGGACAGTGGAACTCTTATCTAAACTGCCTCAAACACTCACTAACTGCCTTAAGTGAAAAAAAAAAAGATACTGGTGTGCTGTTATTTAAAGGATATAAATTTCTTTTTCAGTTTGCTATAATGTCTACAAAAATAACCAATTTTCCTTATTCTTGTAAAGGCCAGCCCCATTCTGGCTTGCTGCAGTCAGGAGTCATCAGCTGCTATGTCATGTACCTCACTTTCTCAGCACTATCCAGCAAACCACCAGAAACAAGTAAGTCATCTAATGCTTTATGTCAATGCTTTTAAACATGTTGTGTATTAAAAGCAAGAATTTAGCAAACCTGGATTAACAGACTTAGGGATATAGAAGTGCTGGGTTTGGTCTTCACAGAAAAAATTGCAAATAAATCTGTGCAGCCAAGAGACTGTGCAATTTGCACTCTCCCTGGGTGTTAAATGCTTTGGTATGGGGACACTTAACTTACCTTGGGTGAGTTGCATCTCTTGCACTGTTTCCTATGAACAAATTTCCCAAAGTCTTGTAATCTGTTCCTCCTATGAGAAGTACACATTCTCATAATGCTGAATATGACAAAATACATAATGTGTTAGGTCACATGATAGGAAAGGGTTGGAACAAATGGCTCTTGGATTCCTCTGGAAGAAGCTGGGTGATCAGCTCCATCCAGAAGTTTACAAGGTCCAGTTAGTAGGTGCTGGCCATCAAAGTGCATACTAATATGACACTTTTTTCTCCTAGAATTAGTCTTCTGGGTAGGCCTGGACTCCTAATGAAGCAAGAACTTGAGTACCACTTGTATTTCATTTTGAGAGGAAATATTAGAAGAAAGGACTCGGAGTTATGTCTCAGAGTTATGTTGCAGCTGAAATGATGCTGTTCTTCAGCAGAGCTCTTGAACTCCACTTGCCTTTCAGCCACTAGTATTGCAGTTCAGGAGTATGGAACTTGCTAGAGTTTTAAGTTCTTGACACAGCAAATCCAGAGCAAGACTTTACAGCATAGTTCAAACTTTCCTCTACCCAAATAAATGGAGGATTCATATGTTTGCATTGGAAGCATTTTTTTCACCTAGAGAAGATTTTTGTAGTTTGAGTTAGTACACCCTTTCTTTATTATTGCCCAGCTTTTAGTGTTCAATAGCTGAAACAACAACAGCTGGAGGAAAAGAAGTCCAATGACAGGAAGGAAAAGTTTATACAGACACCTCTCAAGAAGAAAGGGGAAGGGTGGGGGAAAAAGTCTGTCATACTTGTGTAGGTACAGATAAACACACAAGAGTATTCTAGAGATAGGAAGTAAACCAGACAGTATTTAGGTGTAAAATTTACTTATGAAACTTTAGCCATGTTTTGAATTAATATAAAGTTGAATTTAGAAGGCATTTGAGTTACTCAAAAGTCTGTCCACAATGGAAAAAGAAGGGAAAAAAGTAATATGTGGAATCAAATCATATGCCTTGTGTTGCTTCATGCTTGTCACAAAGTCTTCAGCAGTTAAGTGAATGACCTAATTCTTCTTGTATATATTGCAAGTGTGGTTATTGCATTTGTTAGAGTATGCATCAAGCACACTCTCAGTCCTCCTTGTCTTCCCATGCCTGAGAATTTTCACAGTTGTCATCTGCTCTCAGAGGTGCTCCTTCTTTGCCGGTCTGTGTGATAAGGACTCCACATTTGCTTGTCAGCTTTCACAGTGCCATGTGCCAGAGATTGTGTGAGGTGCTGGTGCTTACTGTGGGGTCCCAGGCCCCATTACTCAGGTTTGCCATGAACTTACCTAAGACTGATTTGACTGAGAACAGGGTGACTACTGACCACCTTTTTTACTGTGTATGGATTTTGTAGTTGTTCTCAAGGCACCCTTGCTGTCAGAAGAGATTTCTGGTCTAAGGTCTGTACTGTCTTAGTCTTACATGATTTTGTAGCCTTGGGTGAAGTGTTGACAGACTTCCAGCTTCCTATTTCTTAGTTCACAGAACAGTTGGTTTTCTTCCTTGTTTGTCTGTTGTGGTCAGACAGGAAATTTTAGTACACTACTAAGTTGCATTGTTTTGTCTGAAACACAGAGTCCGCCAGGTCAGATTTACCCATTTTTTTCTCTGTGATCTTTCTAAGAGGTAGACAGAAACTACTGAAATTTACCTACCTCCTATCAGATAATAAAAATTCAATTAAAGCCTTCAGTCTGAAGACTACTTTAAAATGCAGTGAAATGAGCTCTGCAAACTGTTCTTTTTGTTTGTTTGTGAAGTCCTGGATGAAAACAACCGGAATATCACAATCTGTGTACCTGAATTCAGTCAAGGCCTGCACAGAGATGAAAACCTGGTTACTGGCTTGGGTACTACGATTCTGTTTGGCTGCATTTTATATTCTTGGTAAGTCTGGGAGTTTTCAGTTACCTTTTTGTAAATGCAATGTTGTGGTCCAAAGAGTGAAGGTTTATAGCAGGCCTCATGCAGAGTTACAGAGAGGTGTGGAATAAAGCTGAGCTGGAAGGTTCGTATTTTCCTCAGCTTCAGAATTTTAGACGTTTTAGCTAAAGATGTTCAACAGGGTAATGCAACTTTCAAAACAAATATATCTCATTAAAATCAAGTAGGGCAATTTATCTAGAGGCAGAGGGAAAGAAATTCCACCTGTCTGTGATCCCAAGTAATCTCAGTGTTAAACTCTAAAACTCTATACAGTTACATTCACCTGAAAAATCTATCTGAAATTTTTGTAGCCTCCTGGCAGAGGCTATGACTGTCCTTGAAGATCTTGAAAACAGACTTAACTGTTGGGAGGGTTTATGCCTTCCTTTGAACAAATGATGAACACAGTATTGCCATCAGGATTTGCCATTGATCTGCTCCAAAAAAAAACCCTTCTTGTGCCTGTGCTGCTCACCTTTGATGCTCACCTTGTATTATTGCAGCTCACTTCAATAAATTAAGTTATGCTCAGGGACAGGGAGTTGCCGGTGATTGAGAGGTGGTGTGTCATTTATTTTGGCTGTGCAGCTTGCCAGGAGGCAGGCAGCACTGCCTGTCTGCTGCTGGTTTTGGAGCAGGTTCTGCTACTGAATCGGTCCACTTCAAAATTCACGTAAAGATACCCCTTTGTATTTTTGTGAAGTAAAAACAAGAGACTTATTATTCTGTTTATCAAATACATGTGTTCCATTTTGTTCTGATACAAAATACATAAATATGGGTATAATGGATGTAGTTCACATTAGAAGGGCACTTACAGTGCATCAGGGAGGTGTTTCACCATGAAGACAATATTCATGTAGCCTGCCACTGAACTGTGCCATGTAGCTGGAGAGGTAAGAATACCTTCAAGGGGAGTGTTTTGAAGCATTTCTTGCCAAGGCTCAGTGTGTATACTAAAGCCCTCTTGTGGGTAGTGGGAAATTTGCATTTCCTATCCTAAAAGGGCAGGACAGAGCAAGAAGTGTTTCCTGTCAGAAGAAGGTAGAAAGGATTCCCCCACAAATAACTACAGTCATGCAAGAAAGTAATTTCTAGGAAGTGGTACACTGACAACAGTTGCTGGTAATTAACTTTTGAAAACTGACTGCCAGAGACCTGTGAGTTTGCTGGCAAAGCCTTTACAGAAATGCTGAGCCATAGTGATGGCTGTGAACTGAGTATAAATGCACTGGTTGTGCTCAGCAGGGGAGATCTCTTCTGGTTTGCAAATTGGAGCACTTAGATTTTGCTGCTGTCAGATGGTGGTGAATTCATCACCTTTCTGGAGTGACCTACTTTTAAGCTCATGATTCAGTCTGAGCTGGCCAGTGGCCATCTGCCAGGCTGGTTTCTACCTAGTGCAGGACAAACTTTTCACATGCTTAGTTCTTGATGATAGCATCCAGGCAAATGCTTGGCTGAGACATGGGAGTAGACTATTTATGTTAGCTGTCATGTTGAAGAGTTACCCTGATGGGGCTATAGTTATGCCCAGGGCTTTGACACTGTCTTCTTTTCCTTCTAGTCTGACCTCAACAACACGTGCAAGCTCAGAGGCACTGAGAGGAATATATGCAACAGCTGAAACCGAAGTGAGTTCTTGCTTCTTCACACAGGATTTTTGTGTAAACTTTTCCCCATGCTTTTATTGCTGTTGTTTTTGTGGCCAGTAATCTGAAAAGAGAAGCTATTCTTGTTAGCATGTATGCTATGTGCGCCTGGGTATGGGCTCATCAGAACATTAATCCACATTGGCCCTTCTGTAGTTCTTGCTGGTCCCATAGAGGTTCCTTTATGTACTAAGACTATTTGCTGCTCTCAAACTTTATTCGGCATCCTGCAGACTTCCTGTAAATCTTGTGTTCAGCATGAGCTCATGTCCTCTCACTTAAGGGAAAAGTGTGCTGGAAAGCTACCAGAAGAAAAAGTGGAGGAGTTCTTGAACATTTTCAGTCCTGGTTGCCTTTGTTCTCATAGCAACTAAGATCCCAAGTTCTTATCTCTTATTTTTATTTCCATACATAAGTAGTTCCTTTCTTTTAGCCAATAATTTAATTTCTGATTGTATTTCTTGTTCCTGTTTCAGCTGTACAAGTTTCTTTGTTCCACCTACCTCTTACTTTGGCTTCCTTGTCCTGGGAACACCCAGAAAACTCTGGGAAATCAGTGGGGTTTTGCTAAGTAAGAGTTTCCCTTTGCTTATTGCTAGTGATGCTCTTCAAATATACGTGTGTGTTTGGAAGATAAATCTCCGTCCCTAGCTCTCTCTGCATTGGTGTTGCTTGCATCTGCAGATTTAGCTTCCATTTCACAAGTCTTTAATCTGAGTGTGAGAGTTCATAAACACAGAGGTATCTGCTGAGGCCTTTGGTGTTTGCAGTAGCTGGGCGTGGGGAATCACAAGACATTCCAGTGTGGGAGTGCCAGGGTGCTTCCCTGTGGCAGGATGCTGTGGCTGGCCCGTGCCAGCCCAGCCCTCGCTGCCAGCCGGGCACGGGGCACCCAGGCCTGGCATGGCCTGCCTCAGGCAGGTCCTGACGGGGCCTGTGCCTTCCCACCCCGCGCTGAGGGACAGGACGGGAGCACTGCAGGGAAAACAGCTGCCCTTTGTGCCCCTGCACCTCCTCTGCCAGCCAGGCACTGTAGGAGGCCTCTGCCAGTGGTGTGGCTCTGTGCCCTGTGGAGGAGCAGCGGGAAGGCTGGGACCTATGGCACAGCATGGATTTGGGATGTGGCCCTCACCGGGAAGGTCCATCTCGTCAGCCAGAGTACTTGCCTACTGGAATAGTTCTGGTTTCTTGGGTTTTAAAAAATGTACAAGAGCCATTAAATGTAAATATAAAGAAAGGAGTGCTGAAGAAGAGCAACTGACTGCACTGTGTCTCCAGCCCAGAGAGGGTTTGTCAGCTCTGCTGGAGGCAGCTGAGTCTTAGGGGTTAGGACGGGTGTGCCAGCATTGCTAATTTCAGTCTGTGCCAGGACTAAATTACAGCTGGTTAAAATGTTGAAGGGAACCCCAGTGCTTGCTTCAGAATGTGAGTACAGCCCCAGCATAAGGCAGGCTGGCACTGCAGGCGAGACTTGGCACAGCAAGAGTAGAAAGAGGTAGAGAATAAGGAGTTTACATAAAATCTCGGACAGTCTTTTGAGAAAGAATGCACTTTTTGGCTTTTCTTGAGTTTATGAATCCACTGAGTACAGGCAGTCAGGGATGTGTGGGGTGAACCTCTCACTTGCTGTTTCTGCTGGACATTTTACTTTCAAGACCTACTGTCTGGGAAAGCATGCAACCAGTCCCTGCAACAGGGGATAAGCTGTAACATAAAGTTTAGAAGTGCAAAGCATAAATATTTATTCATGTGTATGTGGTGTCCCAACCAAACTGGAGCACCCCAAATGTGATTTTACACAAGGGTCTTCTACCCTTCAGACATTCAGGTGCAGCGTGATTTGACTAATCACTGGCACCCACACCATCATTACTAATCGTAATAAAACTTTGCAAAGCAACTATATTTCTGCAGCAGTCTTGCTGCTTGTCTGTTGGTCCAGACATCCTTTAAGTCAGTCTTGAGACAGCTACTTATCTATGATGCTGCTATGGTTTCAAAGGTGTTTGAGAGGCCCTAGGATGCTGGCCTTACCTTGGCTGTCCAGCGCCATGTTTTATCCTTCATGGACAGCTCTAATTTTCCAAGCAGCAATGTCCTTATTTTCAGGACTGGGCAGTCCTTTAGTTTGTTTTACTTAAGTGGGAACAATACCAAAGTCTCCAGTAAAATTCCAGTGCCTCATTACATTGTACAGCATGCTGTGAACAAGTAAACAAAGTTAAAACACTTTCATGGTATAAAGACTGATATAACAGGAAAGTGAATTTTCCTAACATTCATTGTCTTAATCAGACCACAAGCAAAAGAAATCTCAGAGAAGGATGAGTACAAATAATACTTGTGATGCGCTACAGAAAGTACTGACTTTAACTGTAGTCTGGTGCAGGAAATACTCTGATATTTGTTTATTGGATGATCAGCACCTTTTCTGCATTTACATTACCATTCAACACAGAAAGTGTAAATTTCAGCTTTGTCTTTCTCCATCAGGTTAAAAAAAATGAAATCTTCATTTAAATAAAATAGTAAAACCAGTTTTCTGCTTTTATCCATTCTTGTGCTCATTCTGGCTCTATTTCAGCAAAATCTTGCAAGGAGAAGTACATGTCACACTGGAACAGTTGTAATTTCTAACCTATGCATCAGAACTTTAAAAGTTCCTTATACTTTCATCTTAGTACAAAAATGTCCTAAAAAGCACTTGTTTGCACATCTAAATAGATAAGTCCCCTGAATATGAATGTGCCTTATTGTACCATTTTGTCATAATTTTATGAATCTGTGTTGGACCTAGAGTTGTGTAAAATGGGTAGAGTAATTTTTAAAGACTGGTTCATTTCTTCAAATTTACTGAGCAGGTTTTTCCAAAGCTTGGAAACTGCTGGTCTGAGCTACTGGGCAAATCCTAATTTAAGTTTTGTGCTGGTTGGAAATACAAACCAGACTTTTCTAAATTAGTGTCTGTAGTTCAGACATAACAGACCTTCCTTCCCAGCAGTTCTGCTTTGCTGTAGCACAGGTTCTTACCCCCTTCCTGTTGTCTGTTTCACAGGTAGCTCGTTGCTGCTTTTGCTGTGTGCCTGACGGAGACGGTAATTATGTTTTCTCTGCAAACTTTACCATATTTGTGGCTTGTGGACAAAAACCGAGAGAGTAAGGACACAGCTGTGGATGGAGAGCTGCTCATACCCTCATTCAGTAGAGTATGAATGCAAACTGAAGCAGATGAAGTGCTCCGAGTTAGGCTACAGAGAGAAGCGAGAGATGTCACAACACCATTTGAAAAATACTAGCAATACTAGGCTAGTTAATAATTCTTTAAAGTACATTTCATTCCTGCAACATACAAAGAGTAATCTCTGTTTTTGGCATGCCTGTGAGTGTACCTGGCTGCTGGGCTTTTGGCTCAGCAGCTCTGCAGGGACTGCAGTTGAGGAGTGAGATAGGAAGGGAGTGTCCTATTTACAGACCTGGTACAATCAGGATTATCAGCTTGGACTTGCCAGAAAAATATTGCACAGGTAGAGCAATTTAAATGCTCTCAATGCTCCAAATCTACTCAATAAACCAGGAAGCTGTTACAAGGCAGGATTTCAGTTTTAGTCCAGTTTTTCACTCAGGGTTTAGGCCCATGCCCTGAGGATGAGAAAATGTGCAAGTGTTACTCTGTATCAGTCACACTTTCCCAAATCACACCGTAGATGTTTTGCTGTGTTCTCTGTGAAGCCAGCTGCTCTTTTCAGTTCTCATTACGTTTGCAAAACTTTCTTGTTTCCTGTCTCTTACAGCTGATGCTGAAGAGCATGTTGAAAAAAGGGGAGGCCAGACTGTGGTTTACGATGAGAAGAAGGGCACAGTGTACAGTTATGCCTACTTCCACTTTGTTTTCTTCCTGGCTTCTCTCTATGTGATGATGACAGTAACTCATTGGTTCCAGTAAGTGTATTTCTTTAATGGTTTCTTTAATACTGACAAATTAACGTCTCTCTGTGTTGGGAGGGAAGATGTGAACGGGAAGTTCTGCTATGTGGGTGCTTCCAATCTTTATGGTAGAAGTTTGAAGAGATGTTGCAAGTCTTTCTTGGGTGTTCTTGAGCAAGATATTGCTCTATAAAGGGCTGCTCTCCCTTGCTTCCTCCATAGCTTAACCTAGTTAGTATTTTGTGTCATTCTATTTTTTTTTTTCCCTTTACAGTTATGAGAGTGCTCAGATTGAAAAATTCTTCACTGGAACCTGGTCTATCTTCTGGATTAAGATGGTCTCCTGTTGGGTTTGTGTCTGTCTGTACTTATGGACTCTTATTGCTCCACTCTGTTGCCCAACCAGGGAGTTCTCAGTGTGAACAGTCTAAAGGTCATTTAAAGTTTTTCTCTTTTTGGTTTTTTTTTTTCTTTTTTTTTAGGAATGAGGAAACACGAATTACCTGCTTATCATAATGTACCAGTTATTACCTTTTTAGTTAGACTAAACAAATGATTGAAGACTTCTTCTACCATTTTTTATTATCATGAACAAGCATTGCTTAAGGGAACAAACAAATCTGTTTTGAAACTTGACAATGCTTATGTGTGGTGTGTAGAAAACACAGTTGTTGCATAAACTGGAATAAGTGGAATACTCTTCAAATAACTGACAATCTTTAGCTGGCTTCATTGACAAGAAAAAAAACCAACTTGTGGTGCAGATGGTATCTTCTTACTTCCCAGGAATGTTTGGTATCTTCCAGCAAATATGCATTAATTCCTTTTTATACTCTTTCATTAACTGTTTATTTTACAGTTTGCAGTGATGATTTGGACTGCTGTTTTGTACAGCATATAATTTTTGTAAGTAGTATCCAGATAATTTTTTTCCAAAAACCATGTCCAAATACTTCTGTAGAAATAAGAGAATATATAAAATTTGACTGCCAAAGCATCTACTAAAAATTGTTTATCTAAGTATTAAATATATTAAGTTATTTTATACCTAGATTGAGAAAGGAATGTACCAATGATAGTATTTATTCTATTATTACTTTAAAGGCACTTGGATATTTTATGCAATTCAGATTTAGCCCAGTTAATAATTGAAGGGGAGTTCTACACACAAAATCTCAAACTGAATTTTGTTCAACTTTGCCAGGTCACTCAAAAGTTGAGTGTACTGCATGGGGATGTAAAATAAGGTACATTCTTTATTTACGTCATTTGCTGTTGAGAAAATTATAGTTAAGGGAGCACTGCCCCTTGCTGTCAAATTTAAAAGTGGGGTGCTCATTTACTTCTCTACCATGCTGTTTTAGCTTGTCTCTAAAGGTCTCCCAGGTCATCAGTTCTGTTTCCATTACTAGTTTTATAATATTTTAGATGCATTGATGGTCAGAAAAGGATTATAGTGTGTCATCATATTTTCCGCTTTTGTGTTGGTTGGAAAGTATTTTTTCTAACTGCTATATTTTTATACTCCTCTGTTGATATTAGTTTTGCTGTTGAGATGGGAGTTAGCCAGCCGATGTATTAATGAAGGCAGAAATTCTCTTGTAGATCTCCTATTCCAAACACTGGAGTAAGCAGTCAGAAAAGCAAAACCAGAAGACACAAATGCAACAAGCAGCTGCCTTAGTACAAATGACTTGACAATATTAAACGCTACCTTGTTACCTTTTAAAAAAATTAATTTAAGCAGATGATTTGGTGGTAAAACAACAGCTCAAATGCCTGAATGCTGAAAAATGTTGAACCTCCTGTTATCTGCATTATGGTGGGATGATTTTATGACTTGAGTTAGTCCTGGTGGTTTTTGTCTCTCTCACTCAACAGATATATTCACACATGTACAGTGTAAAATATCAACCAATTAGCAGCTCACTTTTTAAAAAAAATATGATTGAGCCTTAAATCTTCATCCACTGCTTTCTGCAAGTCAAAGAAAAGCACAACATGGATGCCACTGGGTTGGCCAAGAGATTTACATGCCTTAGTTGTTCTGTTATAATAGTTAATGGCTAATGCCCACCTGGTGAGTAATCTTAACATATCGGATCTTGGTTCTCATCTTGTTTTCATTGCCATTTTTAGCTGCCTTGTTGTTATGGTATCCCAGGGCTTCTGTCCTGTTTGGAGCTTTCTAGGGATGTGATCTTCCTTACCCTGTGCACTCTCACCTGAAATAAAATCTTCAGGTCTGCAGTCCTGTCTACTTGTGCCACCTATCCCAGTAATTAGAGCCTCAAAATACATGTTCTGAGATCTAAGGGAAGGAGGAGTCTGTCCAGCAGTGACTGCCTTGGTGTTCTTCTTGTTTGCCCCAAGAGTTAAAAATAGCAGTTGAAGCTGGGCTTTGACACTGAGTTAGAAGAGCAACAAATAGCTCTGGACAGGGAGCCAGGTTTTTCCCTTTGCTTCTGCTGGGAGATTCTCATCCTGCCAAGAGATCTGCTAGCATGGGGACCTGTCAGAACATTTCTGTCTGCATTTAGAGTCCTGCTACGCAGATACTTCTGCAGCTGAAGAAGGCCTTTGTTAACACTGTTTCAATCCAGAAGCATTTATCTGTCCAATCTCTAAGATGAGAGCTTGTAGGCTGTGCAATGACAACTAACAGTTGTCCCACCTAGCTCTGACAGCAGTTCTGGCAGTTTTGATCCAGTGCTGTAGTTGTGTGCTACAACTGAAATAGTCGGGGCTCATGCCTTACGGGCTGTGCAATGACGACTAACAGTTGTCCCACCTAGCTCGCTCACAGCAGCAGTTCTGACAGTTTTGATCCAGTGCTGTAGTTGTGTGCTACAACTGAAATAGTCGGGGCTCATGCCTTACCTGATCCTAAGAGGCATGCAAGATTTGCCTTCTAGTGCCATATATGTTGTAATATGAGAAACCAAGCTTGGTTGGGGTTTTTATGTTTGTTTGGTTTTTGGGCTTTTTTTTTAATTAGCCATGTTTTTTGTAACAGAACAATCAGGGAAATGAGCTTTATGGAGGCACACACTATGTCAAGTTATAGGGCAGAGAAATATTTCTGCTGTCTGGCTCTCATAGCAGGCATCCCAGTCACAAATGTGGATGATCTTAATACTAATCTTGGTCCTTGGATGTTCCTGTTTACAGAAACACTTATTTTATCTAGTATTTACATCAGGGCTTTCTGCACCTCCTTGTGCTGTTTTTTTTACAGTTTGTGTTTCGGGAAATAGGTTTTCCACAGAGGAAACAAGGCTGTAAAAGAAAGTCCACGGTGAGGCATGAGTCCATTCTTCTTACACAGCACTCGCCTCACTGAGCTGCTCCTTCATCCTTCCCTACTACTAACTATTGACCTTAAGCATGTAGATCTGCAGGTATACACAGAGTGGGAATAGGGCAGTGCCTGTTTATACAGTTTTGTCTACTTTGAGCAAATGTTTGGGGGGAAACCCCCAAAAATAAATAACGTTGAGGGCCTGTGTGCCCATGGTGCCCCAGATCCAGCTGTGGACTTCCAGGCCTTTCTAAGGAATCGGTAACTAGTAGCACTTGGATGTGCAAAGACTCCAGTTCCTCACCAAGACAAGGCTTCCTGCTGGCCAGGCAAATGTTACAACCTTAGTGTTTGCTGTAAAATCTGTACTGTGAACTTCCATGTGCAACTACATAATAAAATCCTCGGCTCGGGTCAAGGGATCAAATTCCCAGCCCATAGATTTCAAACAGTTCATGCAAATGGGCTTTAACAAAAAATTTGTTAAGAAGTGCCTTCATACCTACTGCTGTGATAACTATTAATTCAGGTGGCACTAGAACTGGGAAACCTGGACTGAGCCTGTGACTGGGTGATGCTGCCTTGTAGATTACATCAGTGTGTACAAGGCACAGTCAGACCCGGAGTGCACATGGAAGACCAAACAATCTGTGCTTGACAAATCTTTGGGGATAAGACTGCTTCAGGTATTACTGTGCAGTGGAAAATTAAGTGGGAAAACTCACAAGTAGCCTGATGCTTTTGTAAATAAATATTTTTTTTTACATTTAAGCTGTAAACAGTTAACTTTCTCTCCCCATACCTGAAAGTGCAGGTGATTGTCTGCTGAGGCAAATCCTGCCTTGTACCATGTTTGTTCGTTGAATTTGTTCCCAGATGTAAGCAGTGCAGCACTTCTGGCTCCTAGTGGTTTTGGGCTGTGTGAAGTGAGAAAGCTTACAAAGACCAGAGAACATGTCCTGTACTAAATTTCCTCTATTTAAATTTGAACTAATGCTATCTTTAATAGACTTTTGGAGGAACAGACAGTGTTAACAGAAGTCATGCTGGTAAGGTGAAACAATTTTATTGGCTTTTTCCTACTTTGTCAAATTTGCCATCATAAAGTTTATATGGGACTTCACTGCTGCACTATCATCTGAGACTGGAACAATTTTACTTTTCTTTGTGAAGGCAACCAAGAGCCGCAGTCATGACTGGTTCTTGTTTGGGGTAAAATAAGTGGGGCAGACTCAGAGACCAAGTGTCTGAATCCAAGTAACTGGACTAACAAATGAGATGATAAAACTTTTCTAGGGATCTGCGGAAAGCAGATGGGCATGCTCATTTGCTGTCGGCCACATAGTACCTCAAAGTGTGCAGGCAGCCCTTGCAGCTGAGCTCCACTGCAATCGCACATCAAAGGTATTGCATGTTTGTGATACTCTCAGCTCTCTCCTTTGAGCATTTCCGTGAGGTTCAAACAGCTTGTACATGCCCAGCTAATGTGGTAATTCCTGCCTGGGTTGGGCTGCTTTCCTCTGAAATGCAGAATTCAGTGTTGCTAGTGTATATATAGTCCAGAGAGAGGGTTTGTCCCCTCGCAGACTCATAAACACTGCATGTCTATTTATTTATTTATTTTGTGTTTTAGCACCTTTTTAGAAGTCTATAAGCGCTTTGAGATTATAAATTACGCATGTGTAATAGCTTTGTCAGCTACTGCTGCAGCCATTTCTGGGTTGGAACATTGCTATTAATGAAGCAACCATTGCACTTGTGAAAAAGCTGTTTTTTAACAGCTCTTTGGCTTTGAATGATAGCGTGAGGAAAATTTGGGTACTTAAGATAGTGCTGCTTGAACTGCTAGCAGCCCACAGTATCATGGGCATCTCTGAACAGATCAGCAACAGAGTAATCCATTGACTGTTTTTAAATTGCACTGTAAAGATTTTATAAACTGCTAGGCTTTTCTCCTAAGTTGATGAAGCAAAATACTACAAGACCGTACCCTTCTGGCTAGATGAGTTGAGATTATCCATAGCTAAAATTTTGCTCTCGTTTTCCTTCTGGGCTTTAGAAGCAATGTCTTTCGCTTGGAGGCTGTATCTCCTTGTTTTACTTGCCTTTTTATCTTTGGATTTGTTTTTAAAGGCACTGTAAACTGCCTTCCTTCCCAGACAACCTGCTGCCTGTCAAATGGGATGTCTTTGGTGCTAGAAATTAGCAAAGAGCTCTTTGCCAAGTCTTAGTGATCCTTTCCTTTTCATACCAGGACAGTCTGCAGCACTGAAGCAGAGTCAAGGATCATAGTTTATTACATGGATCAGTTTTTCTGTGACAACTGATTCTTTGTTTCCCGATGTGGCCTACAAGTTCTTGTGGGAGGGAAACACATAATGAACACCGTGACATTTTACTTGTGTTTTCAGTTTTGTAATCAGTGGTTAAAATTCAGTGTTTCACATGACTGTACAAGTGAATGCCAGGGGTCAAGTGCTTAGAAAGCTTTAGCTTTTTTATTCTGAATTTATGCAGCTTGGGAACTGGTGTGTCTCTGCATTTTCTACATCCTCATGGCAGAGTGCCCGGGTGCCCCAGGATGGGGATGTAGACACACTACAGAGTTTGAAGCAGCAACTTTGAGAGACTGGCATGATGAGTGCTTTCTAATGCCCAAGGAAATTCTGTAGGTTTCAAGTAGACCTCAAATTCCATTTGTTCAGGGGTTTTTATGGAATCTGGATTTGATTCTTTCTACACCTGTTCAATAATGTTTTTAAAAGTTAGAATTTATTTCAGATATAAGCCACGTTGGCTTCCCTGCTGCCAGCCAGTCCCTGATCGTTCCCAGTGTGTAGCATACAGACATTTTCACAGACTTGTTCAGAGCCACATTCATCAGCTTTGAAACCACTCCAGCAGCCTGAAGCTTCCAGGGCTTTTGCTCACTAGAGCTGTGGGGTGCAGCACTGCAGCCATGCTTTTGCCAAAGAAGCCTCAGCGTGAAGCCAAGAAGAAAGTGCAAAGCCAGGAATTTTGCAAAATGAAGGGGAAGTAATGGATCATTGGACATACCATAGCTTTAGTTTTCCTCTTACGATACAAGTCCAGGTGCTTAGGTGTCCTTTGGACATCCATGCAGACTTCAAGTGCAGAGAATTAACTTTCAGATAAAATCATTCTACTTGTAATATACAAGCTGAGAAAAGATTTACTAGGAACATATGGGTTCAGTGTCTGCTTTTTGTTCACCACTGATTCGTGGTGTTCAGTCTCATATATGCCATGTTCAAAAACTGGATGCAAAATAGTCAAAATATAAACACATTCTTAATGGTGAGGGGATTTTAATTAGTCTTTTTCAAGGTTCTTAATATCTCAAGGGAACTTTTTGGTGTGTATGTGTGGTTTTATTTTATTAAGCTGTAGCCCAATGAAGTGGAAGTTTGCTAGTTTATTTAACTTTTTTGCAAGTGTTGTGGTCTTTAGTAACTGTAACAGTTTGACTTTTAAGGATTGGTAAAGATTCCAGAATTGTAAGATCTTACTTGTAAAATAGTCAACAGCTTTGCCTTTTTAGCATGTTAATGGTTTTTATGGACACTTCTTTTTGTATACTGAGTGAATGTATTGTTTTAGATTTAATGTTTAATGGACCAATAAAATTTTTCTTACATTTGAAATGAATTGTTGTGATACATTAAATTTTTGAAGTAATTTCATTCTAGAAGAAACATATAAAATAATCTAAATATATGCACTATGCAGTTACTGAGCCAGTAAAAGTAAATTGGTTGATCTTTTATTTTCACTAAATTTCAATGTTGTTTAATAAAAAAGTGCTGCTATGTGGAATATTAGAGGCTTTCAATGTCCATGTTGTTTCTGTATTTCTCTGATGTGTGATACTGGATGATGGCAGATTGCACAGATTTGTCTGCACCATCTGTTCTGTACAACCCAGAGAGATGTGTAAGATATCTTTGCAGTGCAAACAAAATATCTTCAAGGCTGATGTAGCACTGAAGCACTGTGCAGCTATTTGAGATGCAGATCTCGCACCATCTGTTCTGTACAACCCAGCTCCCTGAGATGTGTAAGATACCTTTGCAGTGCAAACAAAATACCTTCAAGGCTGATGTAGCACTGAAGCACTGTGCAGCTATTTAAGATGCAGATCTCTGATTTTTTTTTCTTTTTTGTTTCCCTGCACTTGCCCAGGTGCTGGGGTGGGCAGCTGTTGAACTTGACATGCTGAGATCCACACCAGGGAAAGTGCTTTGTCTTCATGGGTGGTAGTTCCTTCCCGCTCACCATCCGTGTCCTGTTTCAGCTGCAGGCTGCCTCCTGGTACTGGTACTGGTGGCACCCATGCCGGAGAGCTGCCCAGACCCACACCAGGACACAGTTCCCTGTGGTTTTGAGAAACTGCTGACCAAGC